CATTACTATTGATCTTCTTTCTCGCTATCTCCTCCTTATTTGTGCCATGACATTTAGTTTGTTGCTTGTTTAACCCACTTCTTGTTTCTACTGTCTGTCCCAAAACCAGGGGAGGTGGTGAACATGTGGGTCACTACAGCCAGTTAGTTCATCATCTGAAAGAAAGGGTGAAACTCAAAGTGGAAAAGGGCATTTCTCACAACTGGTGCTACTCAGGCATATTGAATTAGTGAGGAGCCCAGCAGGGCCTTGAGGCTGATGGGAGATTTTCTATCACAACCGTTTTCAGTGGAAAAGTGGGATCTGAAACAAAATGAATTTTTTTTGCTGAAAAAATATCTGCTTTCCTCAGAAAATTTTGACTATTTGTTGAAAACCCAAAAAACAAAAAGTTTTAGTTTTTTTCCTACAAAACGTCAAAAATTTCTTTGTAAAAATCACCCCAGTTTCTGACCAGTTCTTCTCTGCAGCACTTGGACAAAAGGCAGGCAGATGAGATGCCCATGCTGCAAGGAAAGGTCAACCCCTCTGTCTGTCATCTAAGGCTAAATCAAATTCATTCTATAAAAAGTTGGACCCCCACTTTACAACTATATGTTACACTGAGCGGGAGCTTTCACGGGAAGGTCATTGTTCGAAATGGTTTAAAGAGGCTTTCTGGGTAACATTAGTAAGACTTATATGAATTATTTAAATGAGTTACATTCAGTTGATGGTGAGAGATATGTAAACAATTTGCACTAAATTAGAGCTAAACACAAACTGAAACGCCCCTGAGGTTTGATAACCTTTGGTGAAGTTGAGAAAATTGTTTCCTGTCTCTCTGCTCTGAGCTGAAAACAAAAATAGATAATCCATGCAGAGAGTCACAGTATTTCTGGCCAGACTCAAACAAGGAGCGGAAAGTCTCTTGGGATCATATGTTTGGGTCAGAGTTTTCAGCCCTATTTCCAAACTCAGGGCTAGAGCCTGTTGCTTCATTAGGCAAAATTCCCGTTGATGTAGGTGGAAGTTTTGCCTGAGTGAGGACTGCAGAATCACAACCCAAAGCATTTCAGACAGATACATATCCCAGCTAATCCTCCAAAGTTCTTAAGGTTCAGTTGTCACTATTGGGAAAAATGCCATAGGGCAGTGGTTCTCAACCAGGGGTACGTGTATCCCTGGGGGTACGCAGAGGTCTACCAGGGGGTACATCAACTTACCTAGGTATTTGCCTAGTTTTACAACAGGCTACATAAAAAGCACTAGCAAAGTCAGTATAAACTAAAATTTCATAGAGACAATGACTTGTTTATACTGCTTTCCATACTATACACTGACATGTACATACAAGATTTATATTCCAATTGATTTATTTTATAATTATACGGTAAAAATGAGAAAGTCTGCAATTTTTCAGTACTAGTGTGCTGTGACACTTGTGTATTTTTATGTCTGATTGTGTAAGCAAGTAGCTTTTGAGTGAGGAGAAACTTGGGGGTATGCAAGACAAATCAGACTCCTGAAAGGGCTACAGTAGCCTGGAAAGGCTGAGAGCCACTACCATAGGGGACAGAGAATGCAAAGAGTATTGTACCATATTGTGCTATCTTCTCATGGAAGATATGGCCCACTGAGCCCTCATAAATACAATCTTAGGCAAATACTTATGCCAGGGCTTTACTTTATTCCCTTTAGGAGTTCCATTGAAATCAATGGGATTACTCCTGGGAATACAGTTAGCACATGTCTGCAGGACTAGGGCCACAGATCTACAAATGCTTCGTAACATCTTTTTGTGCAGATGGGCTAAGATGATCTTCAGAAGATAAGAGAGAGAGAAAAATAAGGAGGTATATTTAGATCTACATTACAAAAACATGTACGCTATTTTTTTCCCCTGTGGTTCAGTGAGCGAGGAAGTTCATTAGCGAAGGCTGGTTCTTTTGTGGTGAAACCGTTAGACAACAAGTGATTACAGACAACAAGAAAATAAAGTGTTTTGCTCTCTGACAAACAAAACAAGAGTGGCAAAAGTAGTGAGTTGACACTGACCACAGGCAGATGCAAATAACCCAGCAACCAGCTCTGAGCTTTTGCAAATGATTTTGATGCTCACAACACAGATACCCTGTTCCCCCCAAAAAAGCCCAACTAAACAAACAAGCAAAGCGAAAAGCCCAGCTAACTGTAAAAAACAAAAACGAATAACTAGACAAAGAACCCCGCCACCCCCCACAAGCCATCAAAACATCACCCTGCAAAATATTAGCCTAACTAAATAAACAAACCAAAAATAATAAAATAATAAAATCTAAAAAATTAAAAACAAAATCCCAACCCTAACTTCAGTTTTTATCCCCAGTAGGGAGGAGAGCCAGAGACTTCTTAAAGCCCACTAGAGACTCTGCTATTGCTATTACTTTTATATGACAGGTACTCAGATACAGCAGTTTTGGGTGACATGATAAACCCAAATAAATTGGTTAGTCTCTAAGGTGCCACAAGTACTCCTTTTCTTTTTGCGAATACAGACTAACACGGCTGTTCCTCTGAAACCTGTCATGATAAACCCTGGAGATAGACGACTGATCTATATTAAAAATACTCAAAGTTCTAGACTGCAGCCTGTCATCAATTTTTACGCTACAGGGACATGCACTTCAAAGAGAGTCCCAAATGCAGATGGGTCGATGGACATGGATAGCCTCATATATGCATTTTTCAAATGTAAAAGAAAAGAGATGTCGAATGAATCCTTCTCTTTCCTGGGAAGTGCTCTTTGGGAGTGAGAGTATATTTATTAGCTGCAGCAAACACTCTGGCTAATTGAAAACACAACAATGCTTTCTGTTTGGCTGAGATAATCTGAATCATCTTCTAACAAAGGGGTTTTGCATAGTAAATTCTTGTGTATCAACTTGAAGAAGGGACTCCTAAAAGTTCAGATATCCCAGACTCCCTTTCTAAAATTGGTTAGAACAGCTTAGACTCTGGGTTAGGGGCTTTTTATCATAGAAATAAAAATCTAATGCCTACAGTAGCTTTAAACTTTGTCTTAACATTTAACATCCACTGGACTTTCATTAGTGAAGATCAGTTTTATAGTGAATGTATATAAAAGAAATGCAACTGGGTGAAATACTCTCCATGTCCTTTAATTAAATTAATAGGGACCAAGCAAATAAACAGTAGCCATACAACACTCCATGGTTTTGTTGCAGTTTTTTAAAAGTTGAGGATTTTTATTTTAAATACAAATAAGTAAATTTAGTAGCAGTGAAAGGAGAAAATGAGGAACAGTTAAGGCATAATCAATGGCATTGCAATCTTCTCCCATACAGCTCTACTGAGATGCCTGAATTGCTTCTCTGTTACAATTATAGCATGGATTATTGGCTTGATTCACAGGAATTTCATATGGGCATGTCAGCATCACATAATTAACATACCTGTATCATAAATACCTATAGTACTATAGAAGTAACAAATAAAATAATAATAGGATAAACGTCATTAGGATGAAGTGTGTCTCAGCATTGTCTAACTTTTGGTGTTTAGGACATAGTATCTCTGCTGGTCCATATCCCCTTGGGATGGAATTCAATGTACAGGTGGTTGGCTAGATGAGAAAAGTTTTGAAATTATTTTTACAAAACATTCAGATTGCTTTAGCCTATTTTTGATCAGGAGATTGGCAAATATGTTGAATTCTCAGGTTTCACAGTAGCAGCCGCATTAAAAAAGAAAAGGAGTACTTGTGGCACCTTAGAGACTAACCAATTTATTTGATGCATCCGATGAAGTGAGCTGTAGCTCACGAAAGCTTATGCTCAAATAAATTTGTTAAATTCTCAGGATGTCGTGTGTTTTTTTTAAGCCATCCACACACTATCAAATAGCTGCATTAAAAAAAAAAAGAATATTGAAGCCAAGTGATTCATTCCCAATTAGACTGATCACATTTATAACATGTAAAATGCACCAGGTGTTTTTAAAATTTAAACTTTCCTATTAACCATCCACAGCTACTTCCGATAACATTTTACATTTCTAAGCACCATGACAAATGCAACAGACAAGCTTCAGGTCGTAGCTGTCTTCTCCTAAATTTCATGGATGTTGAAATAGCCTGAGTCTCATATATGGGACACGGGCTAGTGAGGTCCGTGTGGCTGCTTGTGCCATAGTGTATTAAACTTCCCTTGAGCTAGGCATCAATGAGACATGATTTCCAGGTGTTTTTTTAGAATATTCAAATATGTAAGATGACCATGTTTCGGAATACATGAGTGAAAAGGGTTTACAAGAAAGGAATTGGAATGTCTCCGTGGGTATTTCAGTTCTTTTTTCTCTCTAGCTCATTTTGAATGTTATTGCAAAGAACATGCATTAGGCACATACCTGTGTGACCCACAATTAGGTTATGTCTCAAAGATCTCAACTGGAATAACTGTATGCTTCCATTTTCTAGACCCATCCATTCCTTTCCCACAGGATCTCTTCCCAAAACGTTTATTTCATCTGCAATAATAATTAAACAAACAAGCTAATGTATTTTTGTCCATTTCCCACACTTCCATAGTGCACGACAACCGCTTCAATGATTTCCCTTATTCTCTTTCTATTGGAGCGAACATCCCCCAAATACGTATGAATGTCTGAAACCCTGAAGCACAGAAAATAATCCACATAAGTTTCAGTCCAAAGAAGGGCTTGTCCCATCCATCCAGATATGAGAAGAAAGATTCCTTTTAAAATACATACTCTGCTGTCACACAGTCACACACGTAATTTATTGCGTAATTAATTTTAGGGGCAGCTGAATATTATTCCCCAGGTTTGCCCTGCTGGCTGTCAGAATAAGATTTTGAATGCGGTTATTCATATCTCCTGGCCCTCTCCTTTGTCACACATGTTGCCCCCACAGAACTTTAAGAGGAAATATGACATCTTCCTCTCCACGTGATAAAGTCTCTCATCAAGAGATCCATTTACTAACAGGCATCTACCATTCTCAGAGCATCAAATTTGCATGACTGAAGAAAGCCAGAAAATGTCCTACCAGATAGCTTGGGTGATTCTACTCTGTCTGCGGAGTAAGTATTTTAGCCTGATATTTCATGTTTGTTTTCTACCTTGCTACAAAAAATTACTTTCATGTGCAAAGATCTTCTGAAATGCGGGTAACACCAAGAGGAGCTGATGGGGAGAGCTAAACAGTCATAGGTTTTAGTTCACCAACTAAAATACTAAGAGAGGTAATGAAATATTACGTTGTGCTCCCCACAACACCTTGAATATAGTTTAACATTTTGGATACTGTAATGGATTGTTGTTCAAAATCCAGTTCTCTTTTATGCTCATGTATTTTATATAGGCTTCCAGGGGCATTAGTCTTTTTTTATAGGTAATCAAAGAGATGATTTTAAGCCTGAAGGTCTAAGATAATAAAGCACTCCCTTTCATGTACAATTTTGGTCAAATAACATTCATTTTATTGTTTTTAACTCTGACTCACGGTTAATATGAATCGGAGACTGCAGTCTAGTGGATAGAGCAGAGGACCCAGGAGTCAGAACACCTGGGTTCTATTCAAAATCACATCACTAATTTGTGGGACCCTGTCCAAATCTCTCCACTTACCTGTGATACAGTTTCTCCATCTGTACGCAGGGATAATATTTCATCATCTCACAGGAACACTGTGAGGCTTAACTCATTAATAGCTGCAAAGAAGTTTGATTATCATGTGACAGGTTCTAAGTGCCAAATATTATTAGGGTGACCAGATAGCAAGTGTGAAAAATCGGGACACTTTTTTTTGTGGGGGTATAGTTGTGTATATGAGACAAAGCCCCTCATATTGGAACGGTCCCAATAATATCGGGATGTCAGGTCACCCTAAATATTATTCAGTAGTATGATTGGGAGGTTTAATTAATTGTGATAAGTGCTTCAATGTCTTTGCATGAGAGGTGATATAGATGTGCAAAGGGATTGATTAGCATCCATGGGTGCAGAGTGATTATTGTTTGTGTTACAGCTATGCTACACTTGACAATATGGCAAAAATACTATATAAGAAAAAAAAATGTCAGCAACGTCTGTTTAGTTTAAAATACATCAATTTTCCTACAGTGTATTTGAATCCGAAGAAAATGCGTAAGTACAAAAATAAAGTTATCACACCCCCCATTTTTAAAACAATGGTCATTTTGCTTGGAGCAGATGATGTGTTATATAGAATATATTGCAATGGGTTAGCCACTTACAAGTGATTATTGGATTCAGGTTTTTGTGTTCCTTTTTATAGTGACTGCTTCACGGGAAGGGATATTGATCCAGCAGAGCCCAGCACAGATCTTTCTGGCCTCTGGAGAAACTGCACGGATAGACTGTAAGCTTTCAACAAGAAGTCAGTATATATACTGGTACAAAGAGCTTCAGAATGGAAGTTTGCACAGGATTTACCACAGTTATGAGTTTGCTGCAGCTCCACATGAAAAATACTCGAGTACAGTGAACATTACGGCAAAAACGTTTACTCTGATTATAAGTAACGTACAAAGAAATGACTCTGGGGTGTATTACTGTGGCCTTGCTGTATACGTACATCCGAACTTTGGGAATGGGACCAGGCTAATTGTCACAGGTGAGTTTCCAGTGGGACAATTCCAGGGGTCTGCGGGGTTCTGAGCAGAGCTGTAACTAGGCATTTTAGCGCCTGGGGCAAGCCCTACTGGCTTTTGTCTTGCCTTGGTGGCTGGGCTGGCTGGGGTTGCTGCGGGGATGGCCCAGCCATTGGCTCCAGAGCCGATCCCTGAGAGCTGCCCCAGCCCTTTGCAAGGCAAGCCACAGCCAAGCGGGGTCAGGGCAGGTGGAGTCCAACTGAGTCATGAATCTCCCGGCCCTTCTGCCTCCTGCTGCGCCGGAGAATTTTCCAGCCAGGCTCCCGCAGGGATAAAAATGGCTGTTGGGTGCTGCGGTGACTCAGAACTGAGCTGAGCTTCCAAGCCCAGATCCCCGAGCACCAGCCTCTGCCGTGAGCCCAGACCATGAGCCACGCCTATAAGCCCCCTTTTCATCTCACCATCAGTGCCAGGCTGAGGGGCTCGCTGTGCTGGGGATCCTTCGGCTTCCAGATCAGGCTGGGGGTGCTGCACCCGCTGCAGAGGCCGGGGACAGCTGACTGCATTCCCTGCTTGGGCAGCTCCAGCAGTGGGGACACCAGGGGGTCTGAGAGCTAGGAGACAGGAGCCTACAGGGGAGAGACAGGAACAAGGAGAAGGGTGGCTCGGGGCAGGTGCAGGGGAGGAGGTGGGGACAGTGACTGAGGGGCTGTGGGGGGAGTTGGGGAAGCCAAGAGCTGTGGTTGAAGGGGAGCCTGGGAGGCAGGTATGGAGAGACCTTGAAGGCCCCTGAAGGGCTTGGCAGAGCCTTTGGGGCCCTCGTGGGGAGGGAGCTGAAGGGCCAGGAGGGATCCGATCTTTTCTTTCCACCCCATTTTTCCACCCTTGTAGCTTTGTGCCCTGAGCAGCTGCCCCACTTGCCCCATCCTGGTTACGGCCCTGGTTCTGAGACAGAATCTTGCAATTGTGATTATCTGACCACCCTCCGCCCCGTTTCGGTTTTAAGTCATCAGTATTTATGCTGAGAGGCAGAATGATCTAGGTAGTGGATACTGTATGAGACTGTGAATTAGGAAACCTGGATGGTAATCCTGAATCATTGCCCACCCATCACTCTGCTACTAAAATGGGGTCATGACTCTTACTTGCCTCGCAGAGTGCTTTGATATCTAACTACTGATGAGAAGTGCATCAGCGCCAGCTGTTATTACTGTCCTACCTTCTGATAGTCATGCTCACGGATTCTACCTCGTGGAAACCACCTGAGCCTGGGCCCTAATGCATCTTCCTGCTGGCCTTAAAAAACTTTATTAATCCGGCTCTTTACCAGGCATTCACTGAGCTTCATGAAAGGATTCCCGCCGTGTGGTTTCACAGGGAAGCGTTTTTCCTCCAGAAGCTCAGCAGGAGTGGAACATAAGAATACAGTGTAGTAAAGAAGTGTCTACCCTCTGCAGGTATTCAGAATATTGAGACCATCAAGAACCCAGGGGAACTGATTGGAGTGGGACGAAGGAGTGTAATTGGATGAAATTAATAAGAGAAATCCCCTTCATGCAAGGGAAGTCCCACCATTTAAGACATGTAAGACTAGACTAGACAATGCACTAGATACTTAAACTATTCTCCACTGGAAGGGGTAGGAGCTGGGTAGGGACTAGCTGAGATACCGGTAACAGGTCTTTCCAATCTCTAGTTTGGGTGACTCAACTCTCTTTTAGATGCCTCTGAGCCGAGCCTTTCCATCCTGGTTCCCTCCAACCCAGATGATGCTGAGCTTCCCCCCGTCATTCCTCTGCTCTGCCTGCTCTCTGATTTCACTCCTCCCTGGAGTGCTGTTCTTTGGGACACTGGTGAGCAAGTGTCTGAAGGTCAGATGGATACTGGAGCCATAGACGGGAACGGGGTCTTTAGTGTTTGGAGCCTAATGACAATCCCTCCTGCGACGTGGAACCAGAAGACAAACTGCATTTGTACAGCCAAGGAGAACAGCACAGGGAGAAGCATCAATGCTACAGTCTCCAAGGAAACAGGTCGAGTATCGTATCCTATCTAACCTGTTCTCTCTCCCAAGACATTTATATATGGTGTCTGGTGAAAATTTCACCTCAAGTCAGGACAAATATACAGATTTAAAGGGTTACTGCTGAGCTAAATAACTAAAATAGGGGGAGTGGGGACTAGGTATAAAAACTACCTAGAGGGCTTGAATTGTGGGAGAGACAAGGTGGGTGAGGTAATATCTTTTATTGGACCAACTCTGTTGGTGAAAGAGACAAGTCTGAGCTACTCAGAGCTCTTCTTCAGGCCTGTGTAGCTCAAAAGCTTGTTTCTTTCACCAACAGAAGCGGATTCAATAAAAGATATGACCCCACCCACCTTGCCTCTCTAATATCCTGGGACCAACACAGCCACGGCATCAAATTCTGAAAGAACGTTCTGGTAGCTCCCCTGTCACCCGCTTTTCCTCGCTCTCTCTTAAAACCATTTTTCTGTTTTATTCAATGAGCAGTGGTAAGAAGAGGGATCTGTGGCAAAACTGCCCCTAGATCTTTCTCCTAATGGGCCTGCTTGAAAGCCCATTGAAGTCAATGGAAAGATTCACATAGACTTAGGGTGACCAGACAGCAAATGTGAAAAATTGGGACAGGTGGTGGGGGGTAATAGGAGCCTATATAAGAATAAGACCCAAAAATCAGGACTGTCCTTATAAAATCTGGACATCTGGTCACCCTACATAGACGTCAGTCAGTCTTGGGTCAAGCGCTATCTAAGCACTTTTTCTACAAGTGTTTGAAGAGTGTTAATGCCAAGGAAACAGGAGAATGGTTTGGGGGGCTCTGAGATGGAATAACTAGGACAATGGGAGTGAACTGAGCAAAGGAAAAAGTAGGATGAATATCCAGGATTCCCGATAATGAGATCTATTGAGTTGTGGGAGTGTCTCTCAAGTGACAAGGATGAAGCCCTATTTAAAGTTGGACTAGATAGAGCACTAGTGATTGTACTGTAGGGACTAGCCAGGGAGGTGAATTACAGGAGACCCACAATCACAGGCCTTTGCTATCTCTAACATTTATGATTCTACGATGCTCCCTAAAATGGTTTTCATTCTAATTCAGTTTAACTCACTCTAGTCATCAGTGGAACAGAGATTCTCAGACTGGATCAGTGATTCTTAGGCTGAAATAAATCACCTCTTGATAAAATAATTTACAGTGCAGGCAAGCAGAGTTAATAAATAAAAAGACTTAGCTTGCCTTGGGCTACCAATGGCCTGAATCCTGCACCAAGTGGTCAACTAGCCCCACTGGCACCTCCTCCAGGTGGGGAGTGTGACAATGACCTGAGATGGAGGATTTTGGAGGAAAGGCCTCCCTTCGCTGTGCACGGCCTTTCATGAGAAGTAGATGACACGGACCCACTCTTTTGCGGGGGATTTTTTCCACTAACAAATCTTTGCTCTGCACCTAACATTGTTCTTTCCTCTCTGCAGATGAGGCCTGGAAAGAAAACTGCAATGATGTGTTATATGTTGGGCTGTCTTGTATTTTCATCCTTGTCGTCATCCAGCTGCTGATCCTGCTCTTCAGAAAGTGTCCAACCAGAGGTAACTTGTTTATAACTGGTTTCAGAGGAACAACCGTGTTAGTCTCTTCAGAGACTAACTAATTTATTTGAGCATGAGCTGAGCCACAGCTCAGAGCTCATGCTCAAATAAATTGGTTAGTCTCTGGCCCCATACCCCTTTTTTTTTGTTTATAACTCTATCTGCTAGGAAGCAACCATTCATCACATATCCCTATAACTGTCCTTTTGTTCTTCTCCAGCAGGGAGAGCTGTGCAAACAGGGAATCAAATACCTATGAGGCACATTCCACAGGTAAAGTGCTTTTTTAGCCACTGGCACGTCGGAAAGATACAGTATATGAGTCGGATGTTAACTCAGCGTCCTGGCCAAATTCCGACATTGGTGGCTACATTCCGACTACCTGATTTCCTCTGACGTTCACATGAAGAAGCTATCCTTTCATTTCCCTCCTAATGTAGACAGCAACTGCTTTGTAGGGTTGCCAGTGCAGAATTGCTATTGTATTACCATATTCCCGCCTGCCCATGTGGAGGATGAAGCAGTGGTTTTTATGCTTCTTTATGAGTTTTACATGGACCAAAAAAGAAAAAAGTCTGAACAATTGGTCACATTCATCCAAATGTTGCTCCAAGTTACATGGTCATAAATCGAGTTACCCCCTCATTGGCATTAGTGGAATTACACAGATCAACATTGGTCTGGCAGAATTTGGCCAAAATATTTTTCACTCTCCCATAATTCAAAAGCAGGCCAACTAAAGGTCTGCACACTTTTAAAAAAAATCACATCAGGGCCCAGACTAGACGTTAAAACATTTAATCCTTCTAGGAATTTTGAGAAGGAAAGAAGAGTGAAAATAGGAATTTAGAATGGAACAGCTCTAACAAGAGGGAGCGGTCTAATTCTTGTAGCATATTCATTGATGCAACTCCAATCCCACCGACTTCTTGTGGTAACGGAGATGAGAATTTAGCTTGTGGTTACTACTGCCATCTTTGGGATCACATTTCTCTGCCATTTGCAACAGCCCATTGACTTCAGTAAAGTTACTATGGATTTACACCAGTGTAGATGAATCTGAATCTAACCTCTTTTCTGTAAAACGCTTCTGCACAATATTCTGCTCTCACTTACATTAACATAAAATTGAATTCCATTGACTTCAGAGGAGTTACTCTAGTTTTACAACAGTGTGAGTAAGAGTAGAATTTAGTTTTTTGTCTGGTTACCTAATAAGTAGTACTAGTTAAATGTATGAGATTATAGAGTCGCATTAAGAATATTAATATCTGGTCTTTCCTTTTTCTATTCCAGACCGAGTATGCAGCTGTGAGGTACAAGAAATGAAAAGTCCCTTTTTAACTGACATGGTCTGACAAAATTATTTATGGGGTTTAAAGAAGCTATGCATGAGGAGAAAATTAAAGTGAAAGAGAAATTCTGAGTCTAATGTCTGCACTTTACTAATTACTAAAATGTGAGGTGGCTGGCCTTAAAATACAACTTGTTATAAATGTACCAGTCTCCAAACTCTTTTTGACACCACCTATTTAAATAAATTGTTTTCTTTTTGGTTATTGTGGAGAATTACTTGCTCTGTTATCCCCACATCATTAGTGTCCTTGGGAGCTTCGCCATTGACTTCTGTGAGCATAGGATCAAGCCTTTAAACAGGATTGTTTTACATATTTACACAAGGGATTTGATTCTATATTCTTTGTGCCCCCCAAAGTCCTACTGAAGTAGATGGGAGCTTGGGGGACACCGGAAAGCAGAATGGGGCTTTAAGACTTACGAGATGTTTCGTTATCTTTGCATAATCTCCAATTATTATCATCATTTAAAAAAAAAAAGCATTTGAAGCTCGAGGAGTTAAGTGAAAACCTAATTTACCAATTGTTCTTATTCTTTTTCCTGTTATGCAGAGTGTTTCATAGGGGGAAAATGCCTTGTTTAATGGGGTTTTTTTAATGGTATTAAATGTGGTAGCAACTGTTCTTGAGAAAAAGTCAATAGGGGTTCTCACAACAAATTTTTTGGTAGTCTCAGAGTGTGACCACCAACTCTCACTGGTGGCCGCACGGACACTTTTTCCTAGAATACTTAATTAACTTTAGGAAAAACAAATAAATATGCACATATACAAATACAAATCATTGTAATTTATTTATGTAAGATGATCCTTCTGCTGACTCAATAATGCTGTGAATGGTGATATTTCTCCACTTGTGAGGTAACTCCCTTCTCTTCATGTGTCAGTATACTAATGCCTGCATCTGTAATTTTCACTCCATGCATCTGAAGAAGTGCAGTTTTTACCAACAAAAGCTTATGCCCAAATAAATCTGTTAGTCTTTAAGGTGCCACCGGACTCCCTGTTGTTTTTGCGGATACAGACTAACACGGCTACCCCCGGATAGTTGCATGTTTATTAATATCACTTTTCTCAGCAAGCCCCAGGACACTTTAAGCCCTGCATGGGGGGTTGGAGGAAGAGGCAGTGGGGGACTGGGTGATGGGATGATGGATGGGGAGCTAGGGGAGGAATACACACACACACACACACACCACACACACACACAGAGAAAATAAAGAACAGAAAATCCAACTTCTGTCTGGGTCTTTCTTTCTTTCTTTCTTGCAAACTAGCTGTTGGGAAAATCACAGGCATAGCACACTCTGAAAGCTGGCAAGACTGAACCGGAATTGGGCTAAAAGCATTGTTTATAGTGCAATGGGCTTCCCGCACCGCTAGGGCGCCTCCTCCTGGCTGCCTAGGGGATAGACTCCTTCCAGGTACAATGCCCTTTTCCTCACAGCATGGCTCCTCTCTCTCTCTGGAACTTCAGGTACTCCTTCATGACTCAACCCTCCAGCCAGGTCACCATAGTCCTCCCCTTCTGGGTATTGAAGTCCCACTGGATGATCTGTCTCAGGCAGTCTTCTGGTCCACAGCCCAGACTGTGCCACTTCCCCAGTGGCTGGTAGGGCAACCCAGGCCCACCTCCCCATTACTCCAGGTTCCAATCCAGGGACCCTATATCTGCTTGCACCCAGACCCCTTTGCTGTTTCCCCTGGACTCTGTCCTACTTCCCTGCTCTTATCTTCTGGCCTCCGCATCCCTCTGAGTTTACCAGCCCAAACTCCCTTCTTCCAGGGAGTTACTGCAGACTACTTTCATTGCAGCCTCTTTCTTTTTCTCTTTTTATGGCGAAGCAGAATAGTCAAGCCACCTCCCGCTGTAATTCCTCCATACTTAGCGGTTTATAGCCTCTCGCTCTGCCCGTGTCTTTCCCAGAATGTAACAGCACCTTTTTAGTAATATTCCATTTCCTGATACTTTTACTAAACAACATAATGGTGGGTTTTTTATCTAAGACTTTCGAATTCCTCAACAAACTTTTCCCTGTCTTTCTGAAAACCCTGACACACCCGTAAAAGGTGATCAATTGATTCTTCCACCGTACAGAGTGAAGTTAGTTCATCTTTGTGTCATTTATTTGAATAAGAATTTTGTTTAGGGCACAATGGCCAGTTAATACTCAAAACAAAAGCACTTCAGGCCCTGAAGTATGTCATCATCCTTAACTCTAGGGCACAAGTCAAAAAAAATCATCTTCCTCTTTTTTCATGAATCCAGTTTTTTTGCCATTCCTCTTTTAAATTTGTCTGTATTGGCTTTTGAATTCCTGTTTACTCAAGAATATTGCTACTATGTCAATCATTCCATTTCTTACAGCATTTTTCACTGCTTTGGCCGCCATTTTGTTCCCCGTTATCCCAAGATGCACTGGGATCCAAACTAATGCTACATGTATCCCCATCTGCACTAATTCTGTTATTGGAAATATAATTTCACTGATTAAATCACGTCTACTTACTGAGACATCTTTTTTTTATCACCGTTAAGACCAGAGATTGAATTTTAGAAAATGAGCGCTGCTGCTGGGCGTATATCTCAGAATCAGTTTAACACTAACATTGTTGCTACTAGTTTGGCTGTCATGACAGCTACATAATGAGATACTCTTTTAGATGTACTAATTCCCAATTTTGGTCTACAATATGCCATCCTCACTCTTCCTGTGTTTTTCTTTTTTCAACCCATCTTCATATATTTGACAAAACCAACTCCACTTTTCATCTATATATTGGTACACTTCCTTTCCCACAGGATCTCTTCCCAAAATGTTTATTTCATCTGCAATAATAACTAAACAAACAAGCTAATGTATTTTTGTCCATTTCCCACACTTCCATAGTGCACGACAACCGCTTCAATGATTTCCCTTATTCTCTTTCTATTGGGGCGAACATCCCCCAAATACGTATGAATGTCTGAAACCCTGAAGCACAGAAAATAATCCACATAAGTTTCAGTCCAAAGAAGGGCTTGTCCCATCCATCCAGATATGAGAAGAAAGATTCCTTTTAAAATACATACTCTGCGGTCACACAGTCACACACGTAATTTATTGCGTAATTAATTTTAGGGGCAGCTGAATATTATTCCCCAGGTTTGCCCTGCTGGCTGTCAGAATAAGATTTTGAATGCGGTTATTCATATCTCCTGGCCCTCTCCTTTGTCACACATGTTGCCCCCACAGAACTTTAAGAGGAAATATGACATCTTCCTCTCCACGTGATAAAGTCTTTCATCAAGAGATCCATTAACTAACAGGCATCTACCATTCTCAGAGCATCAAATTTGCATGACTGAAGAAAGCCAGAAAATGTCCTACCAGATAGCTTGGGTGATTCTACTCTGTCTGCGGAGTAAGTATTTTAGCCTGATATTTCATGTTTGTTTTCTACCTTGCTACAAAAAATTACTTTCATGTGCAAAGATCTTCTGAAATGCGGGTAACACCAAGAGGAGCTGATGGGGAGAGCTAAACAGTCATAGGTTTTAGTTCACCAACTAAAATACTAAGAGAGGTAATGAAATATTACATTGTGCTCCCCACAACACCTTGAATATAGTTTAACATTTTGGACACTGTAATGGATTGTTGTTCAAAATCCAGGTCTCTTTTATGCTCATGTATTTTATATAGGCTTCCAGGGGCATTAGTCTTTTTTTATAGGTAATCAAAGAGATGATTTTAAGCCTGAAGGTCTAAGATAATAAAGCACTCCCTTTCATGTACAATTTTGGTCAAATAACATTCATTTTATTGTTTTTAACTCTGACTCAAGGTTAATATGAATCGGAGACTGCAGTCTAGTGGATAGAGCAGAGGACCCAGGAGTCAGAACACCTGGGTTCTATTCAAAATCATGTCACTGATTTGTGGGATCCTGTCCAAATCTCTCCACATACCTGTGATACAGTTTCTCCATCTGTACGCAGGGATAATATTTCATCATCTCACAGGAACACTGTGAGGCTTAACTCATTAATAGCTGCAAAGCAGTTTGATTATCATGTGACAGGTTCTAAGTGCCAAATATTATTAGGGTGACCAGATAGCAAGTGTGAAAAATCGGGACACTTTTTTTTGTGGGGGTATAGTTGTGTATATGAGACAAAGCCCCTCATATTGGAACGGTCCCAATAATATCGGGATGTCAGGTCACCCTAAATATTATTCAGTAGTATGATTGGGAGGTTTAATTAATTGTGATAAGTGCTTCAATGTCTTTGCATGAGAGGTGATATAGATGTGCAAAGGGATTGATTAGCATCCATGGGTGCAGAGTGATTATTGTTTGTGTTACAGCTATGCTACACTTGACAATATGGCAAAAATACTATATGAGAAAAAAAATGTCAGCAACGTCTGTTTAGTTTAAAATACATCAATTTTCCTACAGTGTATTTGAATCCGAAGAAAATGCGTAAGTACAAAAATAAAGTTATCCCACCCCCATTTTTAAAACAATGGTCATTTTGCTTGGAGCAGATGATGTGTTATATTGAATATATTGCAACGGGTTAGTCTCTTACAAGTGATTATTGGATTCAGGTTTTTGTGTTCCTTTTTATAGTGACTACTTCACGGGAAGGGATATTGATCCAGCAGAGCCCAGCACAGATCTTTCTGGCCTCTGGAGAAACTGCACGGATAGACTGTAAGCTTTCAACAAGAAGTCAGTATATATACTGGTACAAAGAGCTTCAGAATGGAAGTTTGCACAGGATTTACCACAGTTATGAGTTTGCTGCAGCTCCACATGAAAAATACTCGAGTACAGTGAACATTACGGCAAAAACGTTTACTCTGATTATAAGTAACGTACAAAAAAATGACTCTGGGGTGTATTACTGTGGCCTTGCTGTATACATACATCTAAACTTTGGGAATGGGACCAGGCTAATTGTCACAGGTGAGTTTCCAGTGGGACAATTCCAGGGGTCTGCGGGGTTCTGAGCAGAGCTGTAACTAGGCATTTTAGCGCCTGGGGCAAGCCCTACTGGCTTTTGTCTTGCCTTGGTGGCTGGGCTGGCTGGGGTTGCTGCGGGGATGGCCCAGCCATTGGCTCCAGAGCCGATCCCTGAGAGCTGCCCCAGCCCTTTGCAAGGCAAGCCACAGCCAAGCGGGGTCAGGGCAGGTGGAGTCCAACTGAGTCATGAATCTCCCGGCCCTTCTGCCTCCTGCTGCGCCGGAGAATTTTCCAGCCAGGCTCCCGCAGGGATAAAAATGGCTGTTGGGTGCTGCGGTGACTCAGAACTGAGCTGAGCTTCCAAGCCCAGATCCCCGAGCACCAGCCTCTGCCGTGAGCCCAGACCATGAGCCACGCCTATAAGCCCCCTGCTGCTGCTGGCATCCTGCACCATCCAGTGCCAGGCTGAGGGGCTCGCTGTGCTGGGGATCCTTCGGCTTCCAGATCAGGCTGGGGGTGCTGCACCCGCTGCAGAGGCCGGGGACAGCTGACTGCATTCCCTGCTTGGGCAGCTCCAGCAGTGGGGACACCAGGGGGTCTGAGAGCTAGGAGACAGGAGCCTACAGGGGAGAGACAGGAACAAGGAGAAGGGTGGCTCGGGGCAGGTGCAGGGGAGGAGGTGGGGACAGTGACTGAGGGGCTGTGGGGGGAGTTGGGGAAGCCAAGAGCTGTGGTTGAAGGGGAGCCTGGGAGGCAGGTATGGAGAGACCTTGAAGGCCCCTGAAGGGCTTGGCAGAGCCTTTGGGGCCCTCGTGGGGAGGGAGCTGAAGGGCCAGGAGGGATCCGATCTTTTCTTTCCACCCCATTTTTCCATCCTTGTAGCTTTGTGCCCTGAGCAGCTGCCCCACTTGCCCCATCCTGGTTACAGCCCTGGTTCTGAGACAGAATCTTGCAATTGTGATTATCTGACCACCCTCCGCCCCGTTTCGGTTTTAAGTCATCAGTATTTATGCTGAGAGGCAGAATGATCTAGGTAGTGGATACTGTATGAGACTGTGAATTAGGAAACCTGGATGGTAATCCTGAATCATTGCCCACCCATCACTCTGCTACTAAAATGGGGTCATGACTCTTACTTGCCTCGCAGAGTGCTTTGATATCTAACTACTGATGAGAAGTGCATCAGCGCCAGCTGTTATTACTGTCCTACCTTCTGATAGTCATGCTCACGGATTCTACCTCGTGGAAACCACCTGAGCCTGGGCCCTAATGCATCTTCCTGCTGGCCTTAAAAAACTTTATTAATCCGGCTCTTTACCAGGCATTCACTGAGCTTCATGAAAGGATTCCCGCCGTGTGGTTTCACAGGGAAGCGTTTTTCCTCCAGAAGCTCAGCAGGAGTGGAACATAAGAATACAGTGTAGTAAAGAAGTATCTACCCTCTGCAGGTATTCAGAATATTGAGACCATCAAGAACCCAGGGGAACTGATTGGATTGGGACGAAGGAGTGTAATTGGATGAAATTAATAAGAGAAATCCCCTTCATGCAAGGGAAGTCCCACCATTTAAGACATGTAAGACTAGACTAGACAATGCACTAGATACTTAAACTATTCTCCACTGGAAGGGGTAGGAGCTGGGTAGGGACTAGCTGAGATACCGGTAACAGGTCTTTCCAATCTCAACTCTCTTTTAGATGCCTCTGAGCCGAGCCTTTCCATCCTGGTTCCCTCCAACCCAGATGATGCTGAGCTTCCCCCCGTCATTCCTCTGCTCTGCCTGCTCTCTGATTTCACTCCTCCCTGGAGTGCTGTTCTTTGGGACACTGGTGAGCAAGTGTCTGAAGGTCAGATGGATACTGGAGCCATAGACGGGAACGGGGTCTTTAGTGTTTGGAGCCTAATGACAATCCCTCCTGCGACGTGGAACCAGAAGACAAACTGCATTTGTACAGCCAAGGAGAACAGCACAGGGAGAAGCATCAATGCTACAGTCTCCAAGGAAACAGGTCGAGTATCGTATCCTATCTAACCTGTTCTCTCTCCCAAGACATTTATATATGGTGTCTGGTGAAAATTTCACCTCAAGTCAGGACAAATATACAGATTTAAAGGGTTACTGCTGAGCTAAATAACTAAAATAGGGGGAGTGGGGACTAGGTATAAAAACTACCTAGAGGGCTTGAATTGTGGGAGAGACAAGGTGGGTGAGGTAATATCTTTTATTGGACCAACTCTGTTGGTGAAAGAGACAAGTCTGAGCTACTCAGAGCTCTTCTTCAGGCCTGTGTAGCTCAAAAGCTTGTTTCTTTCACCAACAGAAGCGGATTCAATAAAAGATATGACCCCACCCACCTTGCCTCTCTAATATCCTGGGACCAACACAGCCACGGCATCAAATTCTGAAAGAACGTTCTGGTAGCTCCCCTGTCACCCGCTTTTCCTCGCTCTCTCTTAAAACCATTTTTCTGTTTTATTCAATGAGCAGTGGTAAGAAGAGGGATCTGTGGCAAAACTGCTCCTAGATCTTTCTCCTAATGGGCCTGCTTGAAAGCCCATTGAAGTCAATGGAAAGATTCACATAGACTTAGGGTGACCAGACAGCAAATGTGAAAAATTGGGACAGGTGGTGGGGGGTAATAGGAGCCTATATAAGAATAAGACCCAAAAATCAGGACTGTCCTTATAAAATCTGGACATCTGGTCACCCTACATAGACGTCAGTCAGTCTTGGGTCAAGCGCTATCTAAGCACTTTTTCTACAAGTGTTTGAAGAGTGTTAATGCCAAGGAAACAGGAGAATGGTTTGGGGGGCTCTGAGATGGAATAACTAGGACAATGGGAGTGAACTGAGCAAAGGAAAAAGTAGGATGAATATCCAGGATTCCCGATAATGAGATCTATTGAGTTGTGGGAGTGTCTCTCAAGTGACAAGGATGAAGCCCTATTTAAAGTTGGACTAGATAGAGCACTAGTGATTGTACTGTAGGGACTAGCCAGGGAGGTGAATTACAGGAGACCCACAATCACAGGCCTTTGCTATCTCTAACATTTATGATTCTACGATGCTCCCTAAAATGGTTTTCATTCTAATTCAGTTTAACTCACTCTAGTCATCAGTGGAACAGAGATTCTCAGACTGGATCAGTGATTCTTAGGCTGAAATAAATCACCTCTTGATAAAATAATTTACAGTGCAGGCAAGCAGAGTTAATAAATAAAAAGACTTAGCTTGCCTTGGGCTACCAATGGCCTGAATCCTGCACCAAGTGGTCAACTAGCCCCACTGGCGCCTCCTCCAGGTGGGGAGTGTGACAATGACCTGAGATGGAGGATTTTGGAGGAAAGGCCTCCCTTCGCTGTGCACGGCGTCCCATGAGAAGTAGATGACACGGACCCACTCTTTTGCAGGGGATTTTTTCCACTAACAAATCTTTGCTCTGCACCTAACATTGTTCTTTCCTCTCTGCAGATGAGGCCTGGAAAGAAAACTGCAATGATGTGTTATATGTTGGGCTGTCTTGTATTTTCATCCTTGTCGTCATCCAGCTGCTGATCCTGCTCTTCAGAAAGTGTCCAACCAGAGGTAACTTGTTTATAACTCTATCTGCTAGGAAGCAACCATTCATCACATATCCCTATAACTGTCCTTTTGTTCTTCTCCAGCAGGGAGAGCTGTGCAAACAGGGAATCAAATACCTATGAGGCACATTCCACAGGTAAAGTGCTTTTTTAGCCACTGGCACGTCGGAAAGATACAGTATATGAGTCGGATGTTAACTCAGCGTCCTGGCCAAATTCCGACATTGGTGGCTACATTCCGACTACCTGATTTCCTCTGACGTTCACATGAAGAAGCTATCCTTTCATTTCCCTCCTAATGTAGACAGCAACTGCTTTGTAGGGTTGCCAGTGCAGAATTGCTATTGTATTACCATATTCCCGCCTGCCCATGTGGAGGATGAAGCAGTGGTTTTTATGCTTCTTTATGAGTTTTACATGGACCAAAAAAGAAAAAAGTCTGAACAATTGGTCACATTTATCCAAATGTTGCTCCAAGTTACATGGTCATAAATCGAGTTACCCCCTCATTGGCATTAGTGGAATTACTCAGATCAACATTGGTCTGGCAGAATTTGGCCAAAATATTTTTCACTCTCCCATAATTCAAAAGCAGGCCAACTAAAGGTCTGCACACTTTTAAAAAAAATCACATCAGGGCCCAGACTAGACGTTAAAACATTTAATCCTTCTAGGAATTTTGAGAAGGAAAGAAGAGTGAAAATAGGAATTTAGAATGGAACAGCTCTAACAAGAGGGAGCGGTCTAATTCTTGTAGCATATTCATTGATGCAACTCCAATCCCACCGACTTCTTGTGGTAACGGAGATGAGAATTTAGCTTGTGGTTACTACTGCCATCTTTGGGATCACATTTCTCTGCCATTTGCAACAGCCCATTGACTTCAGTGAAGTTACTATAGATTTACACCAGTGTAGATGAATCTGAATCTAACCTCTTTTCTGTAAAACGCTTCTGCACAATATTCTGCTCTCACTTACATTAACATAAAATTGAATTCCATTGACTTCAGAGGAGTTACTCTAGTTTTACAACAGTGTGAGTAAGAGTAGAATTTAGTTTTTTGTCTGGTTACCTAATAAGTAGTACTAGTTAAATGTATGAGATTATAGAGTCGCATTAAGAATATTAATATCTGGTCTTTCCTTTTTCTATTCCAGACCGAGTATGCAGCTGTGAGGTACAAGAAATGAAAAGTCCCTTTTTAACTGACATGGTCTGACAAAATTATTTATGGGGTTTAAAGAAGCTATGCATGAGGGGAAAATTAAAGTGAAAGAGAATTTCTGAGTCTAATGTCTGCACTTTACTAATTACTAAAATGTGAGGTGGCTGGGCTTAAATTACAACTTGTTATAAATGTACCAATCTCCAAACCCTTTTTGACACCACCTATTTAAATAAATTGTTTTCTTTTTGGTTATTGTGGAGAATTACTTGCTCTGTTATTCCCACATCATTCGTGTCAGTGGGAGCTTTGCCATTGACTTCTGTGAGCATAGGATCAAGCCTTTAAACAGGACTGTTTTACATATTTACACAAGGGATTTGATTCTATATTCTTTGTGCCCCCCAAAGTCCTACTGAAGTAGATGGGAGCTGGGGTACACCGGAAGGCAGAATGGGGCTTTAAGACTTATGAGATGTTTCGTTATCTTTGCATAATCTCCAATTATTATCATCATTAAAAAAAGAAGTTACATTTTTTGCATTTGTATTTTTTTTTAGTTACTTCTAAATCTTAGTTCCATTGCTATGATGGTGACATGGCTGGTATTATTCAGTGATGTGACTGTACAGCAGCCCACTCAAACTTCTGAAACATTTGATCACTTTTGTAACTGTTTTAGCAAATGAAAATACAAACAGAGAGAGAGGAGTGAAGTTGGTTCCCTGTTTGGACAGTTATTAAATGTGCAGAACCAGGAAACAGACTGTTTATAGTGGGGGAGAGAGTTATCTCTGTCTCCCCCCATCTCTACCCCATACATATTACAAATAAATTTTGGAACATTCCTACCCCAAAAAAATGTATGGGCAAAATCTGGCCAATTTCCATGTAGATAAAGATTTTTAGATCTAATTTTTGCTAAGTGGCTGCCTTCAACATACAGTGAGACTGAAGCCCTGCATGTCCATCCTTTCTAGCTGTCCGAATGTGGTTTGGCTGGATGAAGGTACGCATCATGGCAAATCATAGGCTAAGTGAAAGAATAACTAGATACTAAAAAGAAAAGGAGTACTTGTGGCACCTTAGAGACTAACAAATTTATCTGAGCATAAGCTTTCGTGAGCTACAGCTCACTTCATCGGATGCATCTAGATCCTAGCACCCAAACATAGTTTCAAAAGCCGTGGGGATGTGTGGTGCTCCACTGCCACCTAGTGGTGAAGAGGCAGATCCTCTTTTCCCCAGTTACACTGAGACCATTTTACACTGCTCTCCATAAAGCTCTTTCGCATTGCAACAGGGCTGAACAGGGCCCTTGATGTACATCGGAATCAGGACCAGAGTTTTCTCTTTAGAACTGGCCTCAGTCTGAAAAAAGGAAAAGCCTGTAAGGCATCCTGCTAGGGTTTTAGCGCCCTGCTAGTTTGACAGGTCTGGGGACTGAAGCGTTGTATTTATCGAAGAGGCATGTTGTAATGAAAAGCAGGGAGTGGCTTCATGGGCGCAACGGGGAAGGGAATGTTAACAATGAATTATGGTCCACGGTTTTGTGACAAAATATCGCTGGTGACTCCCATTATAACCAACACAAAGACTGTTTATTAACACATAGAATACAATTAAAGCATTTGAAGCTCGAAGAGTTAAGTGAAAACCTATTTTACCAATTGTTCTTATTCCTTTTCCTGTTATACAGAGTGTTTCATGGGGGAAAATGCCTTGTTTAATGGGGGTTTTTTAATGGTATTAAATGTGGTAGAAACTGTTCTTGAGAAAAAGTCAATAGGGGTTCTCACAACAAATTTTTTGGTAGTCTCAAAGTGTGACCACCAACTCTCACTGGTGGCCGCACGGACACTTTTTCCTAGAATACTTAATTAACTTTAGGAAAAACAAATAAATATGCACATATACAAATACAAATCATTGTAATTTATTTATGTAAGATGATCCTTCTGCTGACTCAATAATGCTGTGAATGGTGATATTTCTCCACTTGTGAGGTAACTCCCTTCTCTTCATGTGTCAGTATACTAATGCCTGCATCTGTAATTTTCACTCCATGCATCTGAAGAAGTGGGGTTTTTACCAACAAAAGCTTATGCCCAAATAAATCTGTTAGTCTTTAAGGTGCCACCGGACTCCTTGTTGTTTTTGCGGATACAGACTAACACAGCTACCCCCGGATAGTTGCATGTTTATTAATATCACTTTTCTCAGCAAGCCCCAGGACACTTTAAGCCCTGGATGAGGGGTTGGAGGGAGAGGCAGTGGGGGCTCGGGTGATGGGATGATGGATGGGGAGCTGGGGGAGGAATACACACACACACACAGACACATACACACACACACACACACAGAGAAAATAAAGAACAGAAAATCCAACTTCTGTCTGGGTCTTTCTTTCTTTCTTGCAAACTAGCTGTTGGGAAAATCACAGGCATAGCACACTCTGAAAGCTGGCAAGATTGAACCGGAATTGGGCTAAAAGCATTGTTTATAGTGCAATGGGCTTCCCGCACCGCTAGGGCGCCTCCTCCTGGCTGCCTAGGGGATAGACTCCTTCCAGGTACAATGCCCTTTTCCTCACAGCATGGCTCCTCTCTCTCTCTCTGGAACTTCAGGTACTCCTTCATGACTCAACCCTCCAGCCAGGTCACCATAGTCCTCCCCTTCTGGGTATTGAAGTCCCACTGGATGATCTGTCTCAGGCAGTCTTCTGGTCCACAGCCCAGACTGTGCCACTTCCCCAGTGGCTGGTAGGGCAACCCAGGCCCACCTCCCCATTACTCCAGGTTCCAATCCAGGGACCCTATATCTGCTTGCACCCAGACCCCTTTGCTGTTTCCCCTGGACTCTGTCCTACTTCCCTGCTCTTATCTTCTGGCCTCCGCATCCCTCTGAGTTTACCAGCCCAAACTCCCTTCTTCCAGGGAGTTACTGCAGACTACTTTCATTGCAGCCTCTTTCTTTTTCTCTTTTTATGGCGAAGCAGAATAGTCAAGCCACCTCCCGCTGTAATTCCTCCATACTTAGCGGTTTATAGCCTCTCGCTCTGCCCGTGTCTTTCCCAGAATGTAACAGCACCTTTTTAGTAATATTCCATTTCCTGATACTTTTACTAAACAACATAATGGTGGGTTTTTTATCTAAGACTTTCGAATTCCTCAACAAACTTTTCCCTGTCTTTCTGAAAACCCTGACACACCCGTAAAAGGTGATCAATTGATTCTTCCACCGTACAGAGTGAAGTTAGTTCATCTTTGTGTCATTTATTTGAATAAGAATTTTGTTTAGGGCACAATGGCCAGTTAATACTCAAAACAAAAGCACTTCAGGCCCTGAAGTATGTCATCATCCTTAACTCTAGGGCACAAGTCAAAAAAAATCATCTTCCTCTTTTTTCATGAATCCAGTTTTTTTGCCATTCCTCTTTTAAATTTGTCTGTATTGGCTTTTGAATTCCTGTTTACTCAAGAATATTGCTACTATGTCAATCCTTCCATTTCTTACAGCATTTTTCACTGCTTTGGCCGCCATTTTGTTCCCCGTTATCCCAAGATGCACTGGGATCCAAACTAATGCTACATGTATCCCCATCTGCACTAATTCTGTTATTGGAAATATAATTTCACTGATTAAATCACTTCTACCTACTGAGACACCTTTTTTTTTATCACCGTTAAGACCAGAGATTGAATTTTAGAAAATGACCGCTGCTGCTGGGCGTATATCTCAGAATCAGTTTAACACTAACATTGTTGCTACTAGTTTGGCTGTCATGACAGCTACATAATGAGATACTCTTTTAGATGTACTAATTCCCAATTCTGGTCTACAATATGCCATCCTCACTCTTCCTGTGTTTTTCTTTTTTCAACCCATCTGCATACATTTGACAAAACCAACTCCACTTTTCATCTATATATTGGTACACTTCATTTTTAATACCTACTGTCTTTTTTATACCCTGAAGTTTATAAAGTAAATCTAAATCCATGTTTAGTCACGCAACTTGCCATCCGTAGCTAATCTTCCCATGTCTAAAAGTTATGTGACTTTGTTCAGTTTTTCCTTGTCGTTCAGCTCCTGCATCCACATGTACTTGAACAGCATGTAGAGGTCTCACAACATGTGCTATAGTTTGCCTATCAAATTACCAACGATCCTCATATATTTGTTTGGTGCTTTCATCACTGTGGTTCCTATTAACTGTAGCTTAGTAGTTTTATTCATAGTGTAACTGGCATTTTACTAGAAACTATCTGTAGTGAGCATATAAGTATTGTAATAAATGCACTGCACGCAATTTATAGTGCTCGGGCTTATATTAAATCTAATTTTTTAAGTTCTGATTTTGATGCTGACCCGAAAGCTTAGCAGCCATAGTCAATAACTGGTCTATTAAGGGTCTGTATACCATCAGCTCTGCTTTCTTATCTGCCTCCTAATTAAACCCAACAAGACTTTTAAGCAGGTTAATCCTTCCTGTACATTTATCTTTAACATTGTTTATATGGTCTTTCCAAAGTAGTTTAGTATCATATACTACCCCTAAGAATTTGATTTATCTATTTGTTCTCCATTTACACAGAGTTTACCTTCCTTTGTAACTTTCCTCGTCGTAAAGATCAGTCCTCTGGTTTTAGCAATGGAGAACTTGAAACCCCAGGCATTTCCTCAGTCTGAGGTCTCTCATGATGCTTTGCTGATTCTCTTTTATGCCACCACAATATTTCTGCTCCTCACACACAGAGCACAATCATCTGCAAACAAAGTGACACCTACCTGGCATTTCTTTGTTTTGAGAGATCATTTATCATAATATTAAATAATGTTGGGCTGATAACACTTCCCTGTGGTGCACCATTTTTAATAATGTATGTATTCAATACAACTTTCCCAACTCTGACCTACACACGCTTTTTATTCAAAAATTGTCTAATCCACTCATACCTTATTTCCCTCATCCCTACTGCACCTACTTTGTACAATAAGCTTTCCCTCCATATCTTGTCACAGGCCTTTTCAGTATGTAGAAAGGCAGCTATCACCTCAGACTTTTTTGCATTTCCGTTTATAATTTAGCAATGTGATCAATGGTGCACACCAAGGTGGGAATAATAGCAAGGAATTCAGGTTCACATCCGAGGTGTTCAGGAATTAGTCAAAGCAAATGGAGGTGGTGATTGTCACAGGGGATATCATCT